CAGGGAACACTGGGGTGGGCACAGTTTGGCAGAGCCAAGAGAAGAGCATCAGGGGCAAAGGGGGTGACGCCTGGTTCGGATGAAAGGGTCACGGCTAAGCTCCATCTCCACCTCCACTCACCAGACGTACCTGCACCATCCTGCCATCCGCTCACGCATCCTGGCCACTTAGCATGCAGAGGGATGCCTGTCCCAGAGATGCCAGCCTCATATGGGACAGCACGTACTGTCTCTGTGCGGCAGCCAGCGCAGCACTCAGCCCCAAGGACATCGTCTCCTCCAGACACGAGGCAAGGGCATTCGTCTCCTCGTATCCCGCTGCAGGAACTCCCCCATCTCCTGGAATGCCCTCTGCTGGAAGATTCTGGGGTTGGCACAGCTCCTTCACCTGCGCAGCTCAGCCCATGCCCTCTGCTGGACATATCCACACCATGCTGGACTTTAAGGTATTTCCTTGGAGGCAATAGCAGCGTGGAAAGAGCTTGTGAAAGACAATTATGCCAGACAGCACCATGCATTACCCCAAACCTTAGCATCACATATGCAAGGCTTTGTTCTCCATGGTAATTAAACTGGAGTAATTATCACCCCCTTGTTTTGCAGTAACAACCACATGTGTAGATTAAAATCCCCCCTTACCCCCCAAATATATGCTCAAAGTCTTGGGAAATCCTGCCCTTTTAGTACTCTTTAATCACCTGATTGTGAGCATGACTGCCTGGTTAAAATATGTTAAGCTAATCTGCATTGGGATTTTGACTGTGCATCCATGGAAGAAAGTATGTTCCTCTCTCTCCTTCTGGGCCTGTTCTAAGGATGATCCCAGCTTGACCTGGCAAATTGTCACACAGTGGTTGGCAAAGTTGTGTGCTTGCGTGCCTTGTGTGTGAGAGACAGATCCACAGAGAAGCAGGCTGCTTGTGCTATGCTGGAGTGTATAAGTAAAATTCAATACTTAACAGGAAATCTAATTTTTAGCAAATTGGCTGTTATAAATCTTAGTATGGTGGCAGTGCCCTCTGCTGGCTGACAGCTGTGCTGCAGGGCCAAATACAGCCCAGACCTAAAACGGAGCATACCAAGAATGGAGAAGAACTCAGAGGAATGAGACCACAGAAAGACTAGGGTTCAGTCCTATACATGTTTAGAATGGAGAACGTCCTATAGCCTTCAACATTCCCTATTTGTAGGAATTTTCAGTCTAATTTTGGACCGGGACCTAAATCAATCATACAGGCAAATCCCCTACCAGCAGATGAAGGAAGGCCAGTGTTGTCTAGGGATTAATTTAAACCTGGGGCTGTTTGTCAGAGTTCCTGGGATGGATCCAGATATGCACATGCTGAAGAGTTGTAGCACCAATACCATTCCATGCGAGTGTTGCACAAACAGCAGTGCAACTTGCACCTTGTCAGCTCCCTGTGATATCAAGCGTGTAAGCAGCAATTTTGCCCCATAAGGACAACATGGCAAATCCACCCAGCCTTGTAGCCAGGGGTCTGTGGCCCCCTGGAAGCAGCTGCACTAGTTCTAATTGCTTGGGGGAGAACTATCACCTCAGCCCCTTCCCACACCATGTTGGGTAGCATCCCAACAATGTAGGAAACAATCGAGCAGAACCTGAAAACTGGTAAAGTAAAAAGGGAGATAGGGTGGGGCTGTGCCTTGGCAGTCAAGCACCTGCTTTGTAGTGAAGTCTCCAGGTCTGAAAACTTCCTGCCTGAAATCCCGGAGAGCTACCACCAGTCAGGGATGCCAGTAGCAGGCTAGGTGGACCAATGGCCTGTCTCAGTACATTTTCCTCAGTTCCTGGGTATTGGATGAAGTGAGTTACATGATACATTATGCAATGTTGTACAAAAGACTTGCCCTAGCACAGCATGCAGCAGGTTGCATCGGAATCCTGAAATCAGTGGAACAACATTGTGCAGCACGGAAAGGTCATTCCATGTTTACAACTTGCCATCTATTTGTCTGGATAGGACCCCATGCAAATAAGCTCCACAACTGAATGATGCTCAGATAAAAGCCTGAAAGTGAATTGAAGGAGCAGACATGAACACTTGGATTACACATAACATTAACAGATGGTATGAATTGGTGAATTCTGCATCATTTTATGAAAATCCAGCCATGTTGGCAATCCATGGATTGTTAACTATGAACAGCCCAGAAAAAGAATCTATGGCTTGTTGTTTGATTGTTAATTGGGTTGTTTAAACCATGGCTTGTTGCTATGTGTGAACCCAAATCTATATGTGGTTTCACCAGGCAGTAGGAAAGACTGGTAAAAACCCTATAGGTCATTACTACAGTAACATAAAGCCATTTGAGATACTGAGAGTAGGCAAAGGAGGATGGGAAAAAAACAACCTAGAAACTGAGAAAACAAACTACAGTTTGCTCTGTTGTCTACCAGACAAACCCTGGGTAGGACAAGAAACCATCAGCTAATCATGGGTTAAATAAATTATGGATTAGTGTTACGTTGAAATCAGGTCACTAAGTAACATAAATGTTATGATTGCCCAGCTGTGGGCGTCAGGCTGATCTCTACTCCATCTGATGTCCTGTACATCTTTCCCTGCTATTTTTTGCACCAGCACCCAGCATTCAGTAAAATCTTTAACATGGAGTAAGGAAGGAGCTATATTTTTCTGTGGTCCTTCGCACTTACCTAGGACTCCTTAAAAGTATGCTAAGATCATAGTAATACCTAAGTTAGCAAGAACAATGGGTACAGAATAGAGATGAGGCTGTGAGAAACCTGTTTTTCATTAGTGTGCTGGTCAGTCTGGCTCAACAATAACACTCGCTGCTTTTCCCCAAGGCAGGTGAAGTTCAGCAACTCCCATCTCAAGGATGCCCTTCCTGGCTACCAAACATTGTTTGATGGGAGGTGGTGCTAAAATGCTCCAGAGAACCCCATACAAACTCCTCACCTCCACCCTGCTCCTTCCTTGCATTGCCACATGTCTGTGTACTCTTGCGAGCTGCACCACCACAGAATTACTATTTAATTCTCCCACTTCGTGGCAGAGAGATTGACATACCCAAACCAAGCAGTTACTTCCATTTAAAAAATTTAAAAAACACCCTTGCATACCTTCCATTAAGAAAAAGCAAGTGGCTCTCTTTTTCTGTCAGGTCTCCAAGGCCTTTCAGCAGTTGCATGAGGGCCGAAGTAAAAAGAAAATGCTGCCTTTCCTTGCATAGAGAAGCTGTACTGAGGGAAGTTTCACCAATTGAATGCCTGCCTGCTCTCCCTCTCCTGTAGCTCTTTAGGTTGCGTCAAGGCAGTTCAGTCACACACCAGCAAATCATGTTACAACACTGAGCTCCTGCCATCAGGATGCCACCAGTGGCAGGCCAGGACTCTGAGCTGGACTAATGGATTCCTGCACATCTAATGTGATTTCCAGAGCTGCTCTCCCAACTCCACACTAGGAAGCATCCTGACTTCAGGACAGACCAAAGGAAAAGGCTTGGCCCGCTTGCCATTTCAGCTTTATGCCCTGCTTATCCTCATCTGCATAGCGCCCCCTCCTGGAAGACACTTGTCTGCCCCAACTTTGCCAGCAAGCCCTAACACAGCCGATTCCAGATCTTATGATTTTCTCTGCAGCATCCCAGTCTCTTCCCAAGGGGCAGAGCACTTAGAGTGACTTTGAATCTGACAAGGGAAAATAATTATTATTTGCCAAACTTTTAATTTAGATTTACCTCAGGCCACAGCAACAAATCAAGAGGCGCTGTTTATGCCATTATGGTCTCTGAGCATATTTTTTAAGCTTTGACAATACTGGACCAGTGAGGTCAAATGCACAAATAGCTCGGCCTAATTTCAGCACACACGAAAATCTCCTGTGAAATCAGCATGGACCTGAAACAGTATATCGGCTCAGACCAACAGCCTGCCTCACTTGGTACTCCAGCCTTTCCTCAACTGAATGTCCTCCAGAACTACCACTCCTAGCATCCCCAGCCAGCATAGCCAATGGTCTGTGCCACCTGTGACCTACCAAGCTGAGCAACGCCCTCCACAGAATGGCCTAGTTCACGTAATTGCTGCAGCCCACCATGACTTATGTGAGCTACAGTGCATTGTGGCACATGCCCATAGCCATTGCAATTATTCAAGTCATGGAGGGCAATCACCATGGTTTATTGTAATGTGCAAACCCAATGCAGGGTAGGTTGCTACCATGGTTAACAACCCCGCAAAGAACCCACCAAAAAGCCTGCTCTGGTCTGCTGAGGGAGCAAGCAGCAACATGACACAGCCCAGTCCTGACCAACTGGGCAGGACTGTAGCTCTTACCCTGCCTCACATACAGCAGCCTTCCCCAACTTGGTGCCTTCCAGCTGTGTTGGAAGTAATTCTCATTATCCCCAGCTGACAGGCACATAGGATGGAGTGATGGAAATTGCTGTCCAGCACCCCTAGAGGACATTGAGCTGAGGGCTACAGCAGAGAAATGCTAACTCTGGCCAGACACTGATTTCTCTTTCAAAAAGTTGGTACCACCCATCTTTATTCAAACCCAGTAACCAAGAGGAAATAACTCCTCTCTTTCTCACCTGCCTGGATTGCCAGCATAAAGTGATCACACATTTATCATGGGCTTCCTTCCATCCTGTAGCCAATGGCAGACATACCTTAAAGTGACAGCACGGTGTAGTGGTTAGGGGCTGGAACTCAGGAGCTCCAATCTCTATGTGGCCACAAAACTCAATAGGTAACTCTGGCCCTGTCACTGACATTTGGTCTAATCTCCCTCCCCAGGGTTGTTTTGAGGATAAAAAAATGGAGCAGAGGAGAATTATACAAGCTGCCTTGGGTTTGTCATATGTGGAAAGAAGGCAGGGTATAGATGCAATTTAAGAATAAGAATAAATGTAGCATTCAACATCCCCCAACACCTACCTGATTGGTTAATCCTTACCCCTTATCAACCTCACAACAATAGAGAGAGAAAGATAGAAAAGTCTTGTGTCACTTTAAAGACTAACAACTTTATTCTGGCATAAGATGCCACAAGATTCTTCACTGTTCGCTGCAACAGGCCAGCATGATAACCTTCTGGAAAGAGCAAATGGTGAGGCTACTTGCCTTGGGCACAGCCCGTCCAAGCATCTGGAAGGAGTCCCCCTCCATGCAGGTAAATGACGACAGGCGGGCATTCTGCTTAGAACAGGACATCAAGGGCTGTTCATTCCTTTATATCGCTTTTTTCTTTCTCTTGTACCAAAAAACAAAGTATCTTGAATACTTGGAGTGGATTGCATTTTGCATATCCATAACATCAGCCCCACCTGGGTGCCAGGCCCTTTGTCCACGTTACTGCTGGAGAGCATCGTGTCGGAAGAAGACTCGGCCAGACTCTACCTAGATGGAGCCAGACCTCCTTCCTCTGGGATAAATGGCCCGAAGTCTATGACAGGATGCAGAACCTCAAGCCCAGCAGGGGCCCCAGTCCAATCCCCTGGAGTTCCTCAAAAGGACATGCTCTTTCCCTCAGCCCCAGCCCCTCTTGTTTGGTGGTTTAGCAGCTTTTGCCATTTTTCCTACTCTATAAAGGTGAAAGACTTCTCCTAAGGCTTAACTTACCAGCAGCAAGAACCTTAAGCTAATCTAGGCTGGTGTTTGGGGTAGGCCTGCTCCTTTTGCTTCTGGCTCTGCCCAGCACAGCAATAAGTGCCTCAAGTACATCCCTGGAAGAGAATTTGGTTCTCAGACTGAAGGAGGCTCTGCACTCCTTGTCTCTCAGATCCTCCCTTGGTCCAGAACTAGATAGAAGGGCAACTGCTAACGGCCACCCATAATCAAACTGAGGAAGTCCATTTCAGGCACCCAATGAAGTGGCATTTTCACACACGCAGCTTGACTTTTCTAATTTTGACTTTTCTGTATCTTTGTGGTTTTGATCATTCTTTTCTGTATATTTGCCAATATTTTCTTTTGTTCTTTTTAAAAAATAAGATAATTAGCACTGACTCCAAGTTTCTGAGGATCATCTGACAAGCCGCTTTCAGTGCAACTCAAAGCCCAGACAACTGAGGCACCTGCCCTCTCCTCTGGACTGGGCTCCCATGGAAAGCAAAGGCCAGACACTGCATTCGTTTGAAGGTTCTGCCCAGCCTCCTCGGAGGCTGGTTCTCGGGGATTCCGAAGTCACTACCCCACCTTGATGCCCTCTGGAACCAGTCATGGACAGAACCACCAGTAAGCTGAAGCAAGCTGGATTTGCTACCAACTTGGATGACTTGAAAAAAAGGGATTAGAAGCATTAAATGAAGAGGAGGCTATCAATGGCAACTAGTTATACTGGCCATAGATTACCTCCATTCTCAGAGGCAGCAGGCCTCTGCATACCAGGAGCAGCCGGGTGCTGATGCACTGGTGTCTTGCTGGCAGGCTTTCCCTGGGCAGCTTGCTGGCCCCCAGAGTGTGGGACTAGCTCAGGCTTGGCTGGCTCTTTTGCAGCATGGCTCCTGGGTGCATGGGGCCAGGCAGCCTGTCCTCTTTAATGGAAGTGGCCATTTCCAAACTCTGCAGAGAGTATGTAAAGCTGAGGTTATTTTTTCCCCAAATGTACTTTGTTGCACTTATCAACACTGCATTTCATTACCCCCTCTCCCACTGTTATAAGATCCCCGTGGAACTCCTTACAATCTGCTTTAGATTTAACTACCTTGAATAATTTATCATTGCAAATTTTGCTGCTTCCCCTTCAATCCCTTTTCCAAGTCATTAATGAATATGTTAAAAAGCACAGGTCCCATTATAGATCCTTGAGGCTCCCTGCGGTTTATCTCTCTCCACTGTGCAAATTGACCATTTATGCCTACCTTCTATTTCCTATCATGCAGCCACTTGCTAATCCACAAAAGGATGCCTCTGCATATGCCGTGACTATTTAACCTTTTTCAGGAGCCTTTGATAGGGGACTTTGCAACCTGTTTTATAAAAAGTCTAATTACACAAATCTTTACTCCATTTATTTACTGACATTCTCTCAAGATTGGTGGAAGGCAGGAATTGCTTTATGCTATTCTAGCACTTCTCTTGCATGCCCGAGTTGAGGCCTGGACTTGTAGCTGGGTTTATAAATGAAACCAGTATTTCAGCCTTGACAAGCAGCAGAATGCAAAATGGACCTACCCAAATTAGGGGCCACTGGGAATTTAGCCAAGCCATAGGTCCTGTTGGACTCACAGTAAACTGTCTGAAATTATGGGCAAAGCTCAGAGCAGGCGGAAACTTCCTTGCCCCTCAAGACACCAGGCTTAATGCTGGAATCACTCCCCACCTTGGTGCCCTCCAGAGCCACAGGGACCCCCTCGCCAACATGTCCCCCATCCTGGCCGGGGACAATGGAGATCTCCAGCACCGGATGCAATGCAGTTTACGATCCCCTTTTCTTCGCAAGCCAACAAAGAGACAGCTGCCAACCCCATTCTGCAGAGGCCTGCAACTCAAGAGTTCTTAAATATGTAATTACATATAATCTGTATTTATTTACTCATAGCAGAAGCAGCGGCAAGCCACATAATTGGACTAGATACCAAATAAGGGATGCAGACACAGACACCCCCTTCACCTCGCTGGGTAAATGCACAGCACCCAAGTGTCAATATCTTCATCACTGTAAATTTACAGAGGACCCTCCTATGGGGGCAGCAGGGAGATAAAGGGAATTGTCTGTGTCTGGTACTGTGAGGGACTGCAGCCATAGATGAGGCTCTTTATTGCTTACATTTTGATGCAATCACAGGCAACAGAACCACTTCCAAATAGAACTCCATTGCCTGCAGGTACCTGGAGATGAAGGCCCATGAGGAAATCCTGAATGAGCTGTATCTTTTTAGCTAGCAGAAGAGATGATTAAGAGGTAATATGGGAGCCATGGGAAGGGCTTCCCTGACCTGGTGCCCGTCAGATGTTGTGGATTTCAGCTTGCTGCATGCCTGGACACTAGTCATGCTAACTCTACTGGAGCTGAAGTTTGAAACATCTGGAGGGCAACAGGCTGGGAAAGGTAAAGAGAATGGAAGGAAACGTGGCTGCTGTGGCACCAGAAAGTGGCACCAAGCCCACAGGCTCAGATTTCAAGAAAAAGGATTTCAGTTTAACAGGATGAAGCACTTTCAGTTGCCCAGAAAGAGGTGTGGTCTTTGTTTGGGCTGTCATGCAGAGGCTGAACGACCACCCATCAAGTGTAGCAGTAGACTTCCTTCAATGCCAGGGAGTGAGACTACAGGACCTTTCCTGTCCCTTCCAGGTCTTCATCAACCATCTTCTCCAGTGTTGCTCCTGGTTCATCAGAGTATCCCCATTACTGAGCATGCAAGTGGGAAGACACAGCAGACCTCAAACATTCCTTCATCTCTTAGGGGAATTGCTCATTAACTTCCTTTAAAAGCTATACCATCTGCCAGTACTTATTTAAAATATTTCTATATTGCTTTTGAACATGTCCACAAAGTAGTTTACATGGGGCAGTAACTTTACTACCTCTGCAACACTAACGTGTCAGGAAAAGGAGTTTGGACTCCTTCGGGGGTGGCTTAGCAGACACAGGTCCTGCAGTTCCATTGCATGAAGCAGTTAAAATCTTTTCCTTGTTCTCATAACAAGATTACATGTTGGTTTGTACCATTTTAACTAATCCATACTACAGATAATCAGATCAGGGCATTTTTATCAGTCTAATAACCCCTTGTCCTTTTGAGCATAGGCCTACTAATGTAAATATGATGGCTGAAGAACTTTCCTCGTCCTGCATTGGTGCAATTCAGCCCGAATCTGGGAAATTCATGCATACTGAGTCTCCTCTCCCTCTCACCCCAATACAGGCTCCTGTTGCAACCCCTGTGAAAAGCTATTCCCGTTAAATCAGGGGCAGGGAACGGATCCTCCAGATGTTGGACCACAACTCCCATCAGCCCTAGCCAACATAGCCAATAGCGCATGCTGAAGGTATCTGCAGTCCAACAACACCTGAAGGGCCCCATGCTGTCCTCCAATACTGCCATAAACGGAAAAGCCCACCCATTCAAGGACTTGCCTCAATGCACGCTTGTTACATCCAGCTGCAGCCGGACCCTCACTAGCACTGACTACGGGTGTGTTCGTCTTGGAGCCTTAAAAGAAACCACCACTTCAGCTTGCTGCAGAGGGTACGCGGTGCAGCAGCAGATTCGGTGTACCCTCCTCCTCGCCGCCATCTGAGAGGTTGGAAAGCAGGCTCTTGACACTACAAAGGAACCGAGGCTGCTTGGCATACAGATGAGAGATCACATTTATGCAGCAGACTCCCACGGTGCCTGTTCAGTGCCTTATACACAGGTGCAAGAGGAAGAAGCAGTGGTTCTTTGCCCACCTTTCTGCTACATGGACTGCAGCCCCTGCTCTGACCTTGCACTGCCTCCCCCACTCTACCTGCATCCATCCTCTCGGCGGGAAATCAGGAGAGGTGCTTTGGGGTGGGGGAACTGGGTGTGTTGAATGGTGACCTCCAAGATCCAAGGGAGCAGGTAGCTGCACCCCAGGTTCTCTCCACAGCCTGGGCACCAAGAGAAGGCAACAGCTTTGGTGCTTCCGCAGCCTTTCCTCACTAACCTCCTTCCTCAGCAGCGAGGTACTACCAGGGCATCAGGGTGAGGCCGGCTCCTCCCACTGGAGGGCAGCGAGCAGGTGAGCTGCTTCAAACCCCTGAAGCCAGAAAGAGAAGCTCATGGCCCCCTTCCACAGACAGACCTGGAGGGGAATCTGAACCGATGCCAGAGCAGGAGGCCCAACGGCAGGGTGCGGCTTGAGAGTGGGTCCAATAGTGCATTACGGTGGCCCTTTCTCTGGCATCAGGCCTGAGGAAGAGGGGGAGGTTGCCTCCTGCCCCATTAGAGAATGATTTGGTTCTTGAAGCTGCGGCTGAGTTCCTTGTGGGACAGGACGATGGAGTTCAAGATGACCACTTCGGGAGGGATGGTCACATTGCAGCCTAGGGGGAGGAAGCAGTGAGAGGCATCAGTGATGCAAGGGAGGGAGGAGGGAGGAGGGAGAAAGGGCACCTCCCAGCAGAGATGTAGGCAGGAATGCGGAAGGTCTTCCTCACTCCCTGGAGGAGGAGAGCCCAGAGGTCCAGACGCTTACCCAGAATGGTGATGGAGGGGGTGAGGCGGCCGTCCCGAAAGAGCGTCTCACTGTCGATCTTTGCATAGGGATCGTTAGGGTTGGGGTCGCTGGGGGTGCCCTCCACACGAGCCCATCTTCCAATGGTGCTATCCCAGCCCACAATGCTGTTCAGCACACAGGTATGGTCCTGTGGGAAAAGAGCGGGAGAGGAGGAGGTGAAGTGCCACACAGCAGCGGCAGTGGCAGCGGCAGCAGCCTCTTTGTTGTGGTTCACCGCCCAGGTGACCCTACCCTGCAGGCCAGCGATCTTGCCCTAATCTGGGAGCTGGGTGCTGCAGGGCCTGCTGCCGGATGCCCATCTCAAGCCACCATTTAAAATGCCCCACCGTGCTCCTGCTGTGGCACAGTTCCAGAGCACTGGAACAGCTTGGGCATTTCGAGTGCATTTTTAAAGCACAGGGACAGCGGCTGATAAATCTCAGCATCAAGCAGACAAGGAAGGGGAGCTTAACTCTTACCTTGCTGCTGCGGCCCTGATGCTAATTACACCTTCAAATGCAGATGGTTTACCTCCCAAACCTAATGCAAACATCAACTTTTCAGAGGAGTGATTTTCACCCAAGCCACAGCAGGGGGTTCTACCCTCTCCTTGCACACACCACTCTCAAGAATTATCAGCTCCCATTCCCCAGCAGGTATTTGCCTCTCTCTCTCTCTGATGTTAAATGCAGAGATATCTTTAGCTGCATATCTAACCTCATCCTTACTAAAGAGCAACTTCTATTGGATGCAGGGGCACATTTTTGAGTTAACTATGCTAGAATGGGGCTATGGATATTCTTACCGAATGGAAAGGGGATTTAGGAAGCTGCCCGATGCCAAGCCAGTCCATCGGTCCAGCACAGGGATATCCACAGCTGCCTCTCCTAAGGCTTAGCTTCTGGCTGTCGGAGCTTTAGCCATGCCAGCTGAAGAACGCTGGGAGCTCCAAGACATATTTCTGTCTCAACATGCCTAGGAATGTGCCCTAAAGCTGCAATATGATGATTTTTGGGCCCACTTCTGTTGCCTTTGTTGCTCAGGCTGAAAGCGGTTGCTCAGCCTTGGTTCATAGGGCGCACAGCCCTACCTGGAAATACCAAGTGGGGCACCGTGAGGAAGGGTGGGGGGAACAGGAGGAGAGATCAATAATCCTCCAGTACCTCCACCCCAAAATAAGTTTATACCCTGCATTTATGGAAGTGAAAATGATGGAAGAACAATTTAAGTGTGTGTCCGTTTCATACTTCTTGTCAAGCAAATTCAGCTGGATTGGAATCAACAATTGGACAGTGCAATCCTATACTTGTTTACTCAGCAGTAAGCCTTACTGAGTGCTGCCTATAGGATTCCAGGCTGAATTTCTAACATACTTGACTGAAATAAAATTAAGCTTAGCCAGAATCAATTTGGAAAGTCTTTAAGGTGTCACAAGTCACTTTGAATAGGAACCCCCACCAAACTTTATAGTGCATTAGTGCCACCTGCTGGACATGGACAGAAATGGTGAGAAATAAGAAAAGTGCTAACCTTTCACAAAACCACATCCCACTTCTAATCCGAGCTGTAATTGTAACAGCCCCAGCCCAGCATCAGTGGCATGAGTTCCTGCCACTGTATACAGCATGGTTGGATAACATGGAGCTCTCCATATGCTGTTGGATTCCCTTAGCCCCAGTCAACTTAGGTAATGGTCAGGGATGATGGGAGTTGTAGTCCACCCATATTTAGAAAGCCATAGGTCATCACCCCTAATATCCAACTGGAGGATGGTGGGACACAATTTCCTCCTCAACCCTTTTTTTATAAAGAGTAAGCACACAAGAAATGCCTTTCCTCAGTCTTATGTACTGGTAGTAAGAGTTTTAAGTTAAAATATTCTGGGATTTTGAAGAATGGGTCCTGCCTCTTTTGTCTTCAGCCCCACCCGCTTGGTCCCCAAGAGCTTTGCTGAAGCAGAACTCAGCCCTCGGGCTGGAGGAGGCTGAGTGCCTCTGCTCTCCGGTGCGGGGAGACACTGGCTCTTGATCCGCTGGAACGCGGGGCAACACCTACCTGGAGAGAAGCTCCATGCAGAATGATGGATTCCCGCACGCGCACTCCAGCTCCAATTGTCACTCCCTTCCCGATTGAGACGCTGGGACCTAGCTGCAGGGGAAATGCCCGGGGTAGGTCAGAAAAGAGCCCTGTAAGCACCACCCCTCCATCTGCTCCCTCCACTATGCATGGGGCGGGAGCGCTCCAGGCACCAGAGAGCACAGGGCAATGCACAGCCCTTAAAACCCAGCCAAGCAGCCTCTGGGCCCCACCTACATTAGAGGCAAGGTGCTGAACGCCCCATACCTGTTATACTTACCACAGCACTGGCATCCACCACAGCTGTGGGATGGATGTAGACATTTCCTGTGTGGAAAAGAAGCCCCCAGAGAGTCAGTCCTTCTGTTTGTTTCCCCTCCTTGAAAAGTTTTACTACAGGGGTCTGTTTTGCTACAGTGCAGTCCTCCAGCTGCAGTACAAATGTCCAGCACGAAACAGTTCAGGGTCACTCCCTCCTACCCTAACACAGACTGTGCACTGGGTTGCAAAAGAGTCCTGCCTCACCATAGGGAACCAAGTAACACAGAACATAGTTTCTCCAATGTGTTAAACACATTGATTTGTTTCCAAATCAATACATAAAAAATACTACCTCACACTAGAGAATGAAAGAAGGGACATCACACGCTTTGGAGTAACCTAGGATAGAGGCAAGACCCGAAGATCTTGGAAACTGGTCTCCTAAGATGGGGTCTCTGGCTCCAGCAGTCCTGTTGACAGATTGCTACATGCAACGACTCCTTGACAATTTGACAAGAGAATGCATTTGGGTTTTTGTGTCACAGAGTGCAAAGAAGGCAGCCGATACCTCGGATGGTGGGTCCACCAGGCTTATTCTGGACAAGTCTCTCTGGGTGGCACTGATTGTAGCAGCTTAGATAGAGGCGATTGGCATAGATGGCAGACCTGGCAAAGGGAACAAAGAAGGAGTTATGCTTTGCACCTGTCCCCAAACACAGGACCAGCCCCCTAAGAACAACCTCTTGAGGACAAAGAGAGGAAGAATGAATGAATGGCCAGCTCGCAAAAAAGAAAAAAGAAAAAAAAAGGCTCATATCCTGAAAGGAGAAGGTTGTATTCTACCTGGGGCAGGACAACACATGGGACGGATTATTTCCATCTCACCTCACCAGCAATGTCCCTTCTCATCCCACCCCATTCAGTACCCACTTGGAAAGTTCAAGTTCTTTTTCTTAAATTGAGATTCCTGCTACCTATATGACATATACCTCAGTTCCAAAATCAAAATCAACCACAGATAATTAAGATTTCTACTTCAGAGGTACACATTTTATTTGTTTGACTTTTTTTTTGCATCTAAACCTGGAGAAATAGAAAGGAAGAATACAGAGCTGGGACTCACAGAAATCAGAAGCTATGGAAGGGCGTGCAAGAAGGAAGGAGCAGCGAATGGCTGTGCCCAGGATCTGTCGTCAGCCACCACTCACCCCATCTATCTCCCAGCATGTGAAGGTATGTTCAGTAGTTCCTCCGACTGTTGCAGTGCCATTCAATTTTTGCCGACATGTTTTGAAGTCCCATACATACATGCACCAATCTATCACCCCACACACTTGTTCAGAAAACAAATCCTGGGATCCCCAGCTTGCAAAACTGTGAGAAGTATTTGAATCAATACTTGACAAGGGGATGAACAATAAAGTAGATCTCCAGATGTTTTGGACTTGGGCATTACTAGCCATTGGCCACGCTGCCTACATAGCAACATATTCTCCTTGCATTCCACAGTCCACAAGTGATTTCTTGGGGAGTATGACGCTTGTTAGGGCTGAAACCAGCATTTCCAATGCAGTGCCCATGGGCACCTCCAACCGCACCCATGGATGGGCCTCCAACATAGCACCTGCCGGAACCCATAAAACAAAAATCTCGATTTTCCTCTTTTAAATAGATGTGCATGGATTTGTACGCATCCATAGTAATGAATATATTTATGAAATACATGCAGCATTCCAACAATTATACATAGGCTTTAACAAAAGCAGATTAAATATCCAAAGAAGTACCCATGTGCAGGTAGAATCTATCTGTCACCTGTTCAAATACTGAAAGCATTCTAAAGTCCTCAGTCCATTGTGCGATGGGAGATGAATGTTCATCCTTCCTCAATTGTAATAGCAGCCTTTTAGCTGAAGCATGCCCATCAGTGGTTACTAAAGACTGTTCCAGTACAAGAATTAAACTGGTGTTATAACCTCCTCTCAGAAAGCAACTACTGGATATGGCAAACATATATTCAAAAGAAACATTAGCTGCACTGGATCACCAGCAATTAATTCAGACAGTCCTTTATTAAGCAGACAGTTTGTTTCATGTCCAATAGTTAAGACACGAATGTAATTACTGAATAAATTGCAGCCTGAGATCCATAAAGACAACAGGTAGATACCAAAGTGGCAATCTGCTGATTAAGCATTTTGTGCCGGTGCCAACAGCACTTTCTCAAATTCCCAGATGTGACCATGCATCCAAATAGGTTGGGGACCACTGGACTAAACAACCCAGAGGTGAACCCATGGTTTGCTGCTGGACTAACTGCAGGCTTCTTGAGCCTTCTCCTCCTTACCCAGCAGACTTGATCTGGCTCCAGAACCCGTCTGTCTTGTAGGCAAAGAGGCGCCCCTGCCCAGCCAGTCCCGTGAACACGTCCTGCTCCAGTCGGATGGCTTCAGCTCGCTGCCAGCCATTGGTGTTTTCCTCTCTGGGAGAAGGAGCCAAGGAAAAGGTGCAAATTACCACAGGGTGGTTTGACGGAATGGGAAAGCACAGCAACCAGTAAGAAGAAGGGGGTTTCTTGAGGTAGTGCAAAACAAATGCTCCCACTGGCTATCAGGTGCAGAACTGCCGCATCCTCCAGCAACCAGAACTAAAATGCTGCTTCTACGGCTAAGTGCCCAAGCCCCACAAAGCAGAGCTACGGCCACAGCTGGGTGAGGGTCATGCAGGATGAAGGGAGAGACTGACACTTACCCAATGCATGAACCCCTACATGTGGGCAAGGGATGGCGGAAGGAAGAGGAGGAGACGGAAAAGATGAAAAGAAACAGAGAGAGAGAGATGGCAGATGAGTGACCCGCTGCTGCTGTCCGAGAACAGGAAGGACACAAAGGCGCAGTTGCGAAGGACACTCACAGAAGCAGCTCCTGCTGGTTGCGCTGGAAGACCAACCCGATGTGATAGAAGATGGCCGGCGTGAACAAGTAGATGCCGCAGTTGATGAGCTCGCTAACAAAAGTGCTGGGCTTCTCCACGTAGTGCAGCACCTAGAGAGAAAGGGTGACTGATGAGCAGGAAGAGAGAAGAGATGGGAGAGTTGCCCACACAATGCTGGGTTTGCTCCCTCTGAAGCCTGGATCCAGAAGATGACAAACCGGACTCAAGGAAGGGCATGCTGAGTGTCCTAAGCGTAGGAGAGCCCTGCCAGGTCAGACCAGCCCTCCGTTTCCACTACCAGAGAGCCCCTGGGAAGCCTAGAACTAGAACATGACTAGAATACAGCACCCTCCCAAGCCTGTTTCCTGGCAATTAGCATACAGAGGGCATCCTGCTTCCAATACCAGGGAGCACCTGGCCATCATGACCAGTGACCATTGATAGCCTTCTCCTCCATGGATTTGCCTAATCCAGTTTTAAAGCCATCCAAGTTAGCAGCCGTCATACATCTTGCAGGAGCCATTTTCACCCATTAACACGCTGCTGAGTGAAGAACCCCTTCCTTTCATCTGTCCTGAATCGCCCACAGTTCACCCTTGTGTCACTCGCCACATGGGCGTGCCTCTTCTCTCCAGCCTTCCGCATACCTCGTGTGTGTCAGCATTCGCCACAATACAGCCATAGTTCAGAGATTGCGTCCTGTTGGCCTGCAAGGAAAGAACACCATCACAGGAGCATTAAGCAAGGATGGAAGGGGACACGGCCAAACTGAAGCTTGACTGAGGTTGCCAGCTGCAACATGTAGCACTGCTGAGCAGCCAGGCTCCAAAGGTGGCCTGAGGAAGGCTAGAGGCCCTGCCTCAGATTAGGATCAGACAGCTAGCCCCACTTCCCGACTGCTTTCCCTAAGCAGCGCTGTCTTTCCAAGCCCATAGCAATTCAGTCCATGACTGGCCATTACCGTGGTGCTGAGCATGAGAAAACTGTCAGGATCCCCACGCTGCCTGTGGGAGCTGAGCATCTCATTGAGAGGGAATTCCGAGCAGACATCGGCATTTAGCACGAAGAAAGCTTCCGGGTTACCCGACAGGATCTGGTCCCGGAAGTGGTAGATGCCACCACCTGTGCCAAGCGCGGCATATTCTTGCAGGTACCTGTAGAAGATTTGGGTCAGGGGAGGCTTATTTTGCAGTAGGTGGAAGATTCCTCTCTGTCAGAGATGGGCAATTCAGGGGCTTCCAGAGGTGCTTGGACTGCAGCTCCCTCACTGTTAGTTAGGCTAACCAGGGCGGATGGGAGTGATAGCCCAATTACACCAGGAAGGCTGCTTGTCATTTCCAAAGGGGGTAGCTGTGTTAGTTAGCTACAGTAAAGCCAACAGAGAGTCTTATGGGCCTTTAAAGACTAACACGCACATGATAGCATAAAGCTTCGTGGACTAAAATGCACTGCATGAGAGAGACATGAAATGGCAGCCAGGTATCTATAAACATAAACACACAGGGGTATAACTGAAAACAATGTAAAGGTTAAATACCAATGGAATCCAGAAAGGATAGACTATGACAATTCAATTTGATTTCACATGTGTGCAAAATGGGGTTGGGGAGCGCATCATAATGTATGGGCAAGTGCATACACATGCACTTTGCATACATCTGCACTGGCAGATTCAATAGGCCCAGGGGTGCCGAGACAGAATCTCGGTGGCAGATTCTGAAGCCAGATCCTTTCCTTAACTTTTCTGTCCCATGGCAGCAGGACACCCACCTGATGGGGATTTTAAACTCTTGCTGGGCTAACACCAAGAAGCGGCTGAGGGCATCATTGGGTTGATAGAAGCCGATCAAGAGAACCTCCTTCAAATTGGGCACCTGTAGAGGACAGGAGGAGTCACAGGTCAGTGGTGGAGCACCTGATTTGCAGGCAGAAGACCCTGGGATTGATTCTTAGCACCTCTGAGCAGGACTGGGAGGCCTCCTGCCTGAAATTGGGGAGAGCCGAGGTCAGCCAGGTAAGCTAGGAGGATCAAGGACCCGACTCAGGCTAAGGCAGCTTCTTATGTTTGTAAGAAGGTCATGCAGGTTCCTGACAGAATAACCCCCTCAAAGTCATCTCAGACCCTTTCTGTGACAGTTTATCTTACTTATGTGGCTGTTTTATTGTGCATTAGAGCTAAGCGGAAGTGCTCCCCCCTGCTTACCTTAGTGCATGCCTCAATATGGTGCTGTATCATGGGCACTCCTGCCACAGGGAATAAGGGCTTGGGCACCTCGAAGGATAAGGGTCGGAAGCGGGTCCCTGGAAGGGGAAAGAAGATCACAGAGCTGCAGGCCTGTTTCACCCCTCCAGCCTTAAGACACAACCAATCCTATCCTGGGCACATTGTCATCATCATCATCAATTTTATTTCCATACCGCTCAATATCCTCCGGGCAGTTCACAACAGTTTCTCAGAATACAACAAAGAACCACAGTACAATAAAAACACAGTCATGGATATAATAAAAACACAATATAAAATTCCTATAAACAAATGTAAAACATTATAAAACTCCCATATAGAGAGGTGTCTGGAATGACTTAACAGCAGTTAACAACAACATCTCACACCAAAGGCTGTTTTCTGGTGAGTGGTCTGCTGCTGTGAGCAGAAAGCCAAGGTGAAGAAGGGGCGGCATCACAGAGAGCTTCCTGAAAGCAGGTAGCAATGCATAACTCAAACACTTGAGCAATAAGAGGGTAATTTCTTCTAAGCTCCATCCCTGGCCTATTTTCCAATCCAAAATCCAGCCTTTGCTCATTTGAAGGGAAAAGAAAAAGAAGAGTTTTTAAAATATGCCCTGTGTGTCTGTTCCTCACTAGTAACCATGCAAGTTTCACACACAAGCATTTGGAAATCAACTTCCCAGAAGAAAGTGTGACCCCATCACTCCCCTCTTTCTCTCCCTCACAATGGTCACTACCTAAGAGGACCTTTGGCAGAATTTTCCTGCACAAACAGTTGGATGCTGCAGATAAAGGGGCAGCCATGGTCCTGTAACCAGCAGTGTTAACTAGGAGCCTTCCCCTAAACTTTCTCTACCTCTATCTCCCTCCCCAAATAATCAAAAAGCTGTTTGCACTGTTGACTTTAAAATCTGTGGAAAGAAATGAACCACCCCCCACTTCTCCCCGCCCGCCAACTTTTGGCCTCAGTAGCAAAAATAAGAGACGGGCTTCCACACAATTAGGAGGTGTGTTAGCTGGGAGTGTGCCCAGGGCAGGGAGAGGCTTGTGATGTGGTCTAATGGAGCTTTCCCGCAACCAAGTACTCTCTAGATACAGTGCAACTTCCATCATACCCGCTTATCGATCATGCTAGCCGGGGCTCATGAGCGTTGTAGTCCAAAACATCCGGAAAACCCGGCTTAAAAAAAAACCAAAACTAGTCTACCGGCAAGAGCAAGTAATAAGCACGGCTCGGTGTGGGCAGGAACGAAGTTTGGCCGTCCGCGTTGGGATGCCCGACGGCGCTCACCTTTCTGGGGGCCTCCGATGAGGATCACGGCTTTTAGCATCGTCCCCTTCGTCCGAAGCGAGGGCAGCAGCAAGGGACGGGAAGGCCGAGGCGTGCAGCCTTCTCCTTTTCTACTACAGCCAGTGGAGAAAGAAGGACACGACAGTATACAATCAAGGATCCTCCTGCGCCCAGCCCAACTTGGATTCCGGGCTCTATTTCCGAGCACGTGGGAATGCCACGTCACCGCCACAGCCTGGCCATAGGACGGGCCTCCGCGTAACCCTGCAGGCTTAAAGGAGGATCTTGCGTCGCCGCTCGGCGTTATACCTTCCAGGCAGGTGTGTTTTTTTGCTCCACCTTAAGTCCAAATCGAAGGCGGGTCGGTGATGTAGATTTCAGGGACAGTTAAATGGAACTCAGTGCAAAGTTTGGAAGTAGGATTTGCAACCAGCTTAATTGCCAGGGGCAGGTGGGCCTCTCTCCTTATCTGACCAAACCCATTATCCCCAGCTGGGAGGGGGGGGCAGAACCGGGAATGTACAAGTCCCATGTCTCCTCTATGCAGCCTGGAACTACCACGGGAAGTAATTCAAAAGGGAATGTTTCTTCTGAACATGTAAAAAATGTCTTTCCCTCTTCGTTGGAGCCGTATAGCGAGCAAGTAACATGCTTTTTGAAGCTGGGAAACCCGTTGATGCCACCATCGCCACTCCCCCACTGCGCCCGGCACGTGCTACTCCCCACCCCCACTGCCAAAATACTATGATGCTTCCCGCGCGTCTTCCATCCCACACAAAATTTCTTTGTACTTCGGGAAGGCTTGGGTTCCCCTGCGCGTGGACGCTGGATACCAGTCATGATGTCATTCTGAGACTGGCAGACGTGGCAGCTCCTGCTGCACCTGCTCAATTTATCAGTACTTTCAGTTTCCAGGCACATTGTAAGCCTCAGGAATGGACACGAGGGTGCGCTCTGATTTAAATCGTGGCGCGGCAACAGTAGTCCCAGTTTAAGCCGGCTCCTCCGCGCTGGAGGAGCTCCGTCCCGAGAGCGGCAGCGGACTTTTTGAGCTCTCGTGGTCTCTGATTCCTGGCCCTGTTTCTCGGGGCCTGGGCCCCGGCAGAGCTCATTTTAATTTCAGGTGAAGCCGTAAGTTGTTTTCCAGCCCTGAGGTAAAGTGAGGACAAACCAAACAGTGGCACCCATGCCCACTTGGCTCTGCTGCTTTTGTCAGGCAAGGCGTGTTTGCTTTTCCTTCCTTTATGCTGAATGAGCTGGTGGAGCAAATAAAGCACAGCGACATGTCTCCCCATCCCCATGCCCTGCTTATACAGCCCAGGCCAGCCCCAGATCTGCTTAGCTTCAACACGGTGGGCACCTTAAGTGCCTAGGGTATAAAACACATGTACTGGGGTGCAACTTTTGAGACACTGCTTTGGGCTGAATGTCCCCTTTTGTCTCCCTTTATAGTGCACTAGAATAAAGCTGATTTTGGCTCTAAGTCTCGTCTCAGGCTCTGTTTGGCTCGGGTCTGGGGTCCACCTGGGTTTGCTCCAGCTGTTGACTGGCTCAGTCCGGTAACAGTGGAATTAGTGGATCTAGAAACTAAAGTAAGGGGAAAGGCATCATGGATACAAAGAAATAAAAGGGAACCAGGTGAGGAATAGCGGAAGACTGTCCTCCTCCTGATCAGCCCAAATTTGTGAGTTATGGGCTCTGAAGTGAGCCCTGAAATTGTAGGAAGGAACTGGGAACTGAGAAGAATCCAGACTCTGGGAGATGGGTAATGTCTGATCGCTAAGAATGGCTATCTAAGGGACTAGTTAGGCAAGTAATCCAGAGACTCCATGAAATTAGCCTTTGGGGGAACTAAGGCTCTTGTAGATTAATTTCTAAAAACTGATGTGGCATTGGAATGTATTTGGGCTAGCACATGCCTTTGGGAAAATTTGGCAGGAAAGGAGTTTGATCATGAGTAGAGGAAAAGTTTTGGTGTATTAGAAGTTGGTGCAAGTACTGTAAAAATTGGCTCTGCCTAAACAATTGGCAATTATTCATGTAAAGGGAGATCACTCTATGAAATGCTGTTTGAATTGCCTTACTTGGGGCAAGTTTCGAGTCAAAAGATAAATTTCTGCAGAATTGTATACTGGGGATATCTTCTTTATCTGCCCTTAGGGAAAAAGGACTACTGGCACAAACAGCTCCCCTGGACTTCACAGTGCGCCCGTTTAAAGCTGGAGATTGGGTTCTGGTAAAGCCCTGGAAGGACTCCAAGCTGCACCCCGAATGGAAAGGCCCACTGCTGGTGTTACTGATGACCAAAACAGCTGTCTGGCCAAAAAGGAAAAGGGTGGGCACATTACACAAGGGTGAAGGGACCAGTGCCGCCGCTGAAGGAGTGGACAGTGGATCCTGGTGCTGGGCCCTTGAAGCTGAAGCCGAGCACGGGAGGGTTGGTTAGGCGACGCTGCCTGGCTCTCGGATGTGCTGGTTTTGCGATTGCTGCTGCTGGTGCGGATGCTGTTGATGTGCCCACTGCCCTGATTGTGACCCTTTACATAATCTCTGTACAGAAGAGTGTGCTATTATAATTGAAGATTGGGTGGATTGTTTGCCGGTGGAACCCCCTCTGGGTGAGAATGTGGATCAATCTACTGTTATGGTGGCTCATCCTCCCCACAATGGGGAGAAAATCTGAAAGGAACTGTAATGACTGTATAGCAATCACGAAAATAGGGAATCAGATTACTAGAACCTTGATTTACCATTCTAGCTACCCCTGTGTGGGGACTTAGCTGGGAAATTGTATGCACAACAACACTATGTATCAGATTTGTGATCACAATGGTAAGAAAATATGCTATGATCCAAAGGCAAACCCAAGAGAATACTGGCTGGAGGTTGGGCATCTGACCAGTACAGGGGAAGTACTGAATTCCACCCAGATACATGATCTGGACCGACCAGTCAGTGTCTTTTTGATGTGTGTGTTGCAATTGGTAAAAATCCTTGGCCTAAATGGAAGTGTGGCTCCCTGAGTTGGATCCGCACCTACTCCCAGAATGACAAATATATGTGTCCAGCAAATGGACTCAAAGTGGGGTGCAGTAGCACTGCAGACTGGAATTACTGCAATGAATGGAAATGTGTAGCTTGGGGGACGTGGATAACGGAGGGGCGCTCAGCCCTTCTGAGTAAAGGAATTGCACAATCCAGTTGTGTCCAGGACCATTGCAATCCAGTTAATTTCACGGTTCTGAAGCCCAGGTACTGGAATCTACAGTGGAAAGGGACAGTTTGGAATGCAAATTGCAGGAACTGGATCAGATCCTGGTACTGTGATCCATGTGGGGATTAGAACTATAGTCAGACATCCAAGGGAGCATAGGTTGTTCCACTCATTCTGTGAAGAACTGGACACAAAAATAGAAATTCCAACAATCACCAAGAATCTATTTGTATATTTGGCAGAGAGGATAGCTTCCTCTCTGAATGTGACAAACTGTTATGTATGTGGGGGCACTAACATGGGAGAACAATGGCCCTGGGAGTCAAAGGAGTTTAACTTAAGCAGTATAGCAGGAAGCAATGTGTCTTTGACATTTAGTGATCATAATCAGGAGGGATCAACCTGGTGGACTCGTAAGACTTCTATTATTGGACATTTGTGTTTTACATGGTCCGGAACTGGGTTCAACCAGACTGTGTGGACTTTGGTGTGCAGTAACCAAATGTTCAGCAATAGTAGTTCTGCCCCTCGGTCTTATTGGTGGAGTGGAGAGAACTTAACCAAATAACCCCTTTGAGAAAATAGCTTAGTTAAAAGGGCTATGGAGAGAAGTGGGGAATGTCATCTTGGACTGGAAGGCTCCAGATGGATTATGCTGGATCTGTGGAAAGTTTGCGTACACCCAATTGCCGAAGAGATGGACTGGAGCCTGTGTGTTGGGGACAGTGAGACCCAGCTTCTTTCTGTTGCCCATTCAACAGGGAGAACGCCTGGGCGTCCCTGTGTAATCTATTCAGGTGACCACAGTGCCGAAGATGAACCCACATGGGGAAAGGATACTGACATTAAAGGTAAAAAAAAAAGGTGGAAAATCCTCCCCAGAGCAGACTCTGCTGGAGGAATTTCTGGAGAACAATTTTAAGTTAGTAACAGTAAGTGTTAAAAAAAAAGGGGGGGTGGATTTGAGAAATGGAATGTTACTGTTACTAAGTGTTAAGGGTGAACAGGAATAGGACAGGATCATTGAAGTCTTTTAAGGCAAAAAAAAAAGCCTGAGAATCAAAGCATATAAATGGTTGTTCTAAGAGTAATAATGTTTCTTATATAAAAAGTTCCGAAAAATACCAGAAGGGGGAAAATTGGGGGACAGTGGTAAAACTGTCACCTTCAATGGAGGAGAGCAGACAATGGATTACTTTACAACTGGAGATAATGAGCCCGGAGAAAGGCCTGTTCTCATTATCAAATCCTCCCCACAAGATTTAAGAAACATTTTGGTCAAGTAAGACTTTTCAAGGCCACTTCGGCCTGTTGACCTCTTAGAAGGTACTGCGCACGCTTAATAGGCTTATGAATAGTAAATGACACACCTCTCATAGGTAATAGGCTCATTAGCATGGACATGGGATGTATGAGTGGGAGGGGGGAACATATTAAGGAGTAGTATGATATAGGCGGATGGGGAAGATTGTGACTTCTTAGTAACCAGCCAATGGCGAAGCGGGGATAGTGTTGAGCACTGGGGAAAGGAATGTATAAAATCTGTTGTAAACAGTAAAAGATTGCTCTTTGTTTCTCAGACTATTGAGGCATTGAGCCAGCCTTTGCAAACAGTTTTTGTATGGAATAAACTGCTTGTACCTACTCGAATCCTGTCTCAAGTTTTAAATCTCACACCTGTTAAGAAACAATTCCACTCTCATTTTAAACAAAATAGATTTATGAGTTTTGCATAGTTGGATTTGGGCAGTAATGTGTCTACCACCAGACAAACAAATCCACCGGAGGCAGGTGGGCACAATCTAACTCAGATCTTACTAACAATTTTCTGAGTTGCTAAGCAATTAAACCCTTGACAAAAGTGTGCATTACACAGGTCTACAAAGTAGCCCAGGGTGGTTGTTCTTATTTTGCAGAGAGGTGTGTGTTAAAGTACTATATGAAAATTCTGCAGTGTTGTCCAGTGTTGTAGTAAAATGCAGATGGGACTGGTAAACTGATGTTAATAGCACTGCTAAATGTTGCTAAGGGTTAGAATGTGTGAGAGATGTTGATTCAAGGGAACCTGTCATTTTTCGCTCTTGCAGGAGGCCCATGTGGAACTTTCCCCCATCTCTCTCTTTACATTGACCTTGGAGCTGAGACAATGCAGCTGTGCAGTTCCATAGATACTAGTGTTTTCTCACGTACCTTGAGCATGAATATACTTGGATCTATTCTGTGTTGCTTATAGAGCAGGGAGTAGCAGTGGGCTGCAAGCTGAGCACACATCCCTCCCAAATATTAACCATGTCCTTCAACTCTGCAGCAGCCTTTGGCCCCATTGTAGGGTTGAAAGAATCATAAAAGAACTGAAGGTTTCAGTGGTGTATGGAAAGACACTGTATGGACACCAGATCTTACTGAGAAACAAAAGGCTAGAGCTAATATGCACATTACAAAGGCACTGCTCAGTCATCAGATCGACCAGAAATCATGGACCTGTGATGCTTTCAGGGCCTTTTAAAAATGTGCAAACACACATAAATGTATAGGTCTAGGAGAACATGTGCAATTCAAAGGAGCAGCTACTGGGCAGCATGTAAATGAATTAAATAAATAAACATAGCCACAATTCAAAATTCAAGCCACGCAAAAGTTGCATTATTAGCTAATGTAGAAGGTAGCTGATGATGTAGAAAGTAAAGTAAGTAGTCCAGGTTCTTTGAGGACCCTAAAACCTTATCAAGCATGCCCATTTAACCTTCCACTGCTAAAGACACTCCCCACAGTCTCTACCACTGCTCTCTAAAGCAGCCTTTCCTAACCCGGTGCCTTTCAGATGTTTTGGGCTTCAGTTCCAAATTGAAGCGTAGTGTTTAACACTGTTGGATTGGGACTTGGGAGGTCCAGGTTCTACTCTCATCTCAGCCTGCTGGGTGTCTTGGAGCTTATCACACACTCTCAACCTTCCTCACAGGGTGGTTGTTGTGAAGATATACGTAATGAACAGCCTTGTAAGCTGCTTTGGGTTCCTTGCAAGAGGGAGAAAGGCAGGGTAAAAATGTAAGGTAATAATAATTCAACTAGTGCAGCTAATGGTCAGAAATGCTGCTGCAGTCTAAAATACCTGTGGGGCACCAGGTTGGGGATGTCTTTTCCAAGAGATTTACCAATGTCTCCAAGATGAAGGAAATCATTCTAGGACAAGACCTGTGAAATTGCTTATGTGATATGGGCAGTAATGTGGTCAAATACCTGATATGCTATTCTTAAGACAGCTGTACTATATTTGTAGTTTGGGAGGGGTTTTCTCTCTTCTTCCTATGCACTGGGGGGGGGCAGTTATCCCTTATTCCAGGGGTTCCCAACCTGGGATGCACCGCAGGGGTGTGAGATGGTATTTCCAGGGGTGCGACAAAGAGGAAGGCTGCATTGTGATTTGCCAAGACTGAATTTTATGAGTTAAAAGCTTATTTTTTGAGTTCAATTTGTTCACCCACAGTACTGTATGTGTTTCAGTTTTGGTTCAAAAATTAGCAATGTTACTTCTTCATCTTCAAATGAAATACTACTTTTGTAGAGGGTGCAGACATAAATAAAATATTTTCTAGGGGTGGGGGTCATAGAAAAGGCTGGAAACCACTGCCTTACTCCTTTCTGCTTTACATGATGCTTCTTGAATCTAACACTCTTCCACATTACTGCTGTTCAGCTCCTAAGATCTACTTCTGCACAATGTGCTGTAGAGGTCTATGCGATGCATGCAAATTACTACTGCACAACTCCCCCCCACCCCCAGCCCCTGGAAAAAATCCTGCGGGTGTCCATGGCCAAGCATTTATCTTTTGTGTGGCTTGATGGCATTCAGTGAACTGATATAATTCTCGGATGTCTTACAAGGCTGAGACAGGCGTGAAGAAGTGAAAAAGAGGAAGGGTACAAAAGGTCAACTAATGCATATGACATTTTGCTAGCACTAAAATATCTGAAATAATAGGCCTGGAAAGCATCCTGGCTGATACGAAGCCTCCCCCACACCCCCTTGAAGCTTACTGAGCATGATCTATACCAGCTCATCCATTTGTGAAGAGGCATTTGTACTACAGTAATAAAGAATGCCTCTGGAAATGTGTAGTGTTGAAGTTTCCCAAAGTCACTCTTGTATTATTATTATTGGAGATGGTATCAGTAACATACTCTTGGACTCAGCCCTGGCAGTCAAAACCTGCATTGCTAAAGTCCTTGCTCCAGATAAGTCTTGTGAATGAGGCAAAGAGACTGAATACATACGTAGTATATACGATCAGCGGAAGACATGTGCATTGAATGATTTTTGAAGGATTGAGATTCAGCACTGTGTTCCACACTTCTGCTTCTCCTGCTTAGTGCCTCTGTCATGTGGCCAAGACGAAGAGCAGCTGTGAGGCCCAAACAATCCCTGATATGGTCAAGAAGGACTATATATATCTTCAGGCTTAGGGTAGGCTGATGAAAAGGATCCTGCAGTGTCCCTTAGCCTCTCCAGGAGGCACCATTGGCAAAGGAATGAAGGTAAAAGTTCTGACACCAGAGGTGAAGAGCTGAGGGGTTCTCAGTTTCCTGAAGCAAAGCTATTGTTAGCTCAGCCTTTTCCAACCTGATGCTCTCAGGATGTGTTGCCACAGTTGTAGCTCCAACTTCTGGTGGAGGACAGTAATGGTAGCAGAATGCTGGACCAGAAGGAGCTAGGGGAAATGCCGGGCTGTATTCAGAAGGTCACCAAGAAAGGAAGAAGACAATGTTGCTAATGCTCGGTGCAGGGAGAGATTGAAAGGATGGTTGGATTCCACCCTAGAAGTGGTTTAGCATCACCTTGATTACAAGGTGAAAGAGGGACAGGAATCCCTTTGATTCCTGAAGTTCTAGATCTGACCCATTATTTCCTCCAACAGTGACGAGTTTCCAAGATCCAGCGGAGATCCATGGGATCACTTGAGGATTTAGCAGGGTTTGTGGGGCCAGCAATGATCATGCCTGGCAGGTCAGAATAGAGCCCTTTTGCCCACTGTTGGCCCAGCTGGCAAAATACAGCTTGATCTCTAGAGAAGACCCAGTCATTATGGAAGGGTTCCAGTTCTTCTGTGCAAAACTGGACTTGTTGCTAGGTACAACATATCTTTCCCTATGCGTACTGAACAGGGAGCAACTGAGATCCAGCGGAACAACTGCACTCCCCTTTCATCTTTAAGGCAGCCCTATTCATCAGAGAGCCTCAGCTGTGGGGCAGTATAGATATGAAACTGATGAAGATGATGATAATGATGACGATAGCATTTTGAGCCATGTCTTAAAGCTGAGGATTAGAACCTGTGCATAGTGTGAAATACAGCCTGTCAAGGTCCAGCAAGCCAACCATGTCATTCATCCAGCTTGCAACTGCATGCACACCTAGCTGGGAATATGCCCCACTGAACAGTCTGACTTGCTTCTCGATAGACATGCAGGTGATTGCGCTAGGTCTCTCGAATGGACACGTGGATCTCCTGGGTGCATGACTCCAGGCATCTCATCTTCTAATTGTAGTAGAGAAAGGGAGGTGCAGAGCCCAGAGTCAAGCATTTCCCCCAACCTGGTGCACTCCAGATGGGTTGAACTACAACTCCCTTAATTTCCAGCCAGCCTGGTTATTGACATGTAGAGGGCACCAGGTTAGAGACAGCTGAGCTAGACTCTCTCCTCTCCCTCTCCTTCATTGCAACATGAAAGATAAAAGCTTCAGCTTTTGATTTTTGTGCAAGAAACGGCATGTACTACACACCGGAGACCTTTGTATAATCAATTTGTTTTATTGAGTTCATATAGCAAGAAAACAGGTCAGAAAGAGTCTGGAGGCCCTGGGATGGTTCACTCTGGCTGAGGTGCTGGGGAAAGGCCATTCTCTGTTAATGCCCCTCAGCAAAGGCTTTTCGGAGACTGCTGCCATCTGTGGAGCACTTCAGAAAGCCGTTGACTGGCAGGGGGATGGCCCCACCGGCCCCAGAAATGGACTCAGCCCTGAGGCAGGGTGGGGAATACTTGCCCATGAGTCGGGGAAGGCATTTTGCCCCCAAGAAGGCAGAATTGCATTGGTGGGAGAGTGCAGGCGAGCGAGAGAAACTGCACGACTCTATTGCCTCTTAGGGGGCATCATAGACCTACAGCACCATTGTGGGAGAGAGAGAGGCTAACTTGCTTTCCCCAGCTTTGAGCACCATTCTTTTTGCCCAGCCAGTTCACAGGATTAGGCAGTGCAATTTTCTGGACTGTACTTGGCAGCAAGGATAGAGTTTCTTTGCGGGGAGCAATCAGATGGAGGGCAAGAGCTCAGATCACATCGAGGCGCGCAAAGGACTGGTCCATGCCCAGGCTGTTCTCCACAAAGACCTCGTACTTCCCAGCATCAGCCGGCGTCACCTTCTTGATGGTGAGAGTTGTTGAGTCACTGCCGATATTGAAGTATATACTGCGGAGAAAGGAAAGGTGGTGGGTCGGAACTCTGGCAAATTTGTTTCCTCACTCTTCCTATCTATCACTAGCACATAAGGTTGCTCCCGATACCGAGACATAGTTTGCCTTCGCTCCCCATGCAAAAGAAGAATACTGAGAGGGTCCAAGGATAGGATCAATGATCTTTGTTAAACGAAGAACTCTTGTACACCCTGAACTCTGCTGGAAGCTCACACAGGCTTCTTTCTATGCTTCTAGCCAAAACTGCTACATGCCTAAGGTTCTCCATAATATAAACACGAGATCGAGATACTGTATTTTTCTGTGTATAAGATGATACTTTTTCTTAAAAAATATTTACTTAAAAATGGAGGGGCATCTTATACACGGGGGGGGGGGGGAAAGGGGAAACCGGGGGGCACATGGGGGGGGGGGGGACGGGTGCGATCACAGGCGCGCTGGGGGGGGGGGAGGCGGGTGCCCACGTGCAGCAGTAGCAGTTTGCTCGTTCGGAGATCAGAAAGAAAAGTGGGGGGCATCCTATACATGGGGGCATCTTATAGACAGAAAAATACGGTACTTCCTTCTTTAAAAAAGAAAGGGATGACATCTTTTATTATTGGGATTCTAAACTGGAGATGGCATTACAGAATTCAAGTCTGACACCATTCTGTCTGATTTTTAGATGTCCTAAACGTTAACCAGAAGTGAGGCCAGAAAGGAAGGGACAATGAAGGCATTGAGTTCCCAGGGAACTCAGATACCCTGAGGAGTTATCAGAGGGAGCCCTGGCTGTGCACTTGCCCTAGGAGTCCTGGCATACAGCACCCCCACTTACTACCCCAGTGAGGAGCCTCACTTACTGGTCATCCTCTTCAATATCCTCACCATCCTTGGCCCAGCCAACGTCAGGTGCTGGTTCCCCACTGATGTGGGCTGTCAAGTTGACTGTGCTGCCCTTCTTGGCCTTCGTGCTATCGGGGCCCTTCTCGATTTTGGCAGGTACTGCAAAGGAGAGCACAGGTGAGATTCAACCAAGGGCCCTTTCTCTTCCCTCTTCACCGTGGAAGCATGCTGTACTGGGCCATGGGCACTGTCGCAGGTTACTAGCCCCGTCTTGAGACAAAAGAGGTGCCGTCCTCTAGAGTGGGAGCCCAGGATCTCATTTGCTGGGACAAGAACACATGCGAGAATCATGTCTCTGCAGCCACTGTTTTCCCCACCAATGCCTGTATGAGGAGCCGTGTGGTGTGCAGCGGATGATTCTGCTTTCAGTTTGGTTCTAGGTTAATTTATGGCCTGTTGGGGACCTGGAGGTACCTTGTGGTCTTGATGACGTTTACAGCTCTTAACGGTTGTTCTTGCTGATGGATCAACCTGTCTTTTTGTCTAGCCACGCTGCCTTTTCTCCATCCAGCCATCTAATGGAAGTATATCACTGCATGACTAGGGAGGAGGGATTGTTGGTGTTTGTAGAGTTAGGCCTTAGACTAGTCTTCGCAAGTACTCTTCAGATGCTGTTGGACTATACAACTCCCCAAATTCCTGACTATTGGCCCTGTTGGCTGGGGCTGATGGGAGCTGAACTGGACAGCACCAATTCAGGAAGGCTACCTTAGATCTTAGCATTTAAGTTTTGGTTGTACCTTCTTTGAGATTACGCAGACTGCCCAAATTTGTAATAGAATGGATATAGAATCACTTATCATTAAAACTTGGCTAATGTCATTAACTCATTGGTGTATTCCAACCTTCCCCAACCTGGTGCCCTTGAGACTACAGCTCTAGTCAGCACAGTCAATGGTCTGCGACTGATGGGAGTTGTTGTCCAAAATATCTAGAGGGCACCACATTGGAGAAGTCTGGGATATCCACAGGGATCTCTCTGAGCTTCAGGTTCCGGGCAGAAGTCCGCGGCAAGAATCAAAGGGTGCAGTTCCTATCTCTTCTGGTGCTGGGTTTTGTTTAGCTTGCAATGAAGTGGGCTGTGCCACTCATGACAGCCCTGCAGTTTTCCAGGTGCTGTGTGGATTTAGGGTCAGTGGAGAAGGGGGTCAGTACAGGTTCTGCATGGTTCACCAGGATCCAGTTGCTTGAATTAACATACTCCAGTCCTAAGGGGCTTGCTTTATTTCTGACTAAAGTGTTGCCTTCTAACCTGAGGCTGAAGATAGTTCGTGTTGTAAAGTAAGACCTCTCCTGGGCATCAGTCTCAGGGATGGGTCTCCTTCCCAGATAACTCAAATATCCTGAGGAGTTATCAGAGGGAGCTTTCTCTAGGATCATAAGTTAGACAGAAGAAGCTTGCAATTCTATCCGGAAAGGAGGGTGGCTGTGTCTTGAGAGAAGCTAAAGTTAGAAGGGGCTTGGCTTTCTCTACAGAAGACATGAAGCTATGAATAGAACTGAGCAGGACTCCAACGTGAAGGAGCAGAGGAGGCAGTGCTTCCTGCCCCAGTGAGGTGAGCCAAAACGAAGCATTCTTGCAAAGGGGAGCTTTGCTAGAATGATATGGCTGCCCAGAGGATGTGCATGGCTATGTTTAGAAGGGTCTTCTAGCTGTGCAGGGAAGGGACATGCCACATTACCTTCTATGAGGAGGCGGGCTGAGTCAAAGCACTCTCCAAAGGGGTTCTTCACAGAGATGGTGTACTTGCCCAGGTCAGGAAGGCCACCATCACGTACCACCAGGGCTACAATGTCAGGATCCTCAAAGACATAGCGGTACTTTGGCCCATCCTTGAGTTCCACCCCGTCTTTGGACCAACGGATGAAGGGGTCTGGAAAGGCACTGATGCGGCATTGTAGCTTTGCTGCGCTCCCTTCGATCAGCATCACATCCTTGAGGTTCTCTAGCACCCGTGGGGGGCCCTTCTCTTTCAGTTCCTTGCGGGACCTGGCAGTGGAGAGGAGGGAGCTGAGTGGCAGAAATTCAAGAGCCCTCCCACGATCTTGCAGCTTCCCCATTACTGGAGACAACTGCGAACTGGCCATGCCTATAATGTTGCCCACAGCTGAACAGAAGAAAAGACGGGGAATGCAAAGAATAATCACCACTGAAACAGCCACTTGTCGTACAATTTTGCAGGAAGCTTTTGCTACTAAGGTTCTTGGAGCACTTGAAATGGGCACACAGCCATCAAACTTGCCTGTGTCACTCAAAGCTGGACTTCATTGAGCTGCAGCTAATTGAGTAATAATATTATGTCAATAAATAAATGCTTTCAATTTAAATGGCTGATTGTAAAAAAGGAAGGAAGGAAGGAAAGACGGAAGGACAGACGGAAGGAAAACCAGTTAGAGCTGCCTGTGCTTTGTCCCCATTCTCCTATATCCCACAGAGCTCAATAAAAATATAAGAGGAAGTATTACCAATGAGAATGTTGACTTAGATCCCGCTAACACTGAAGTCACCCTCTTAAGCTGAATGACTCAATTTTCTTAGCACAGATATGTCCGCTTTACATGAAAGTGATAGCCAGCAATAGGGTCAGGTGCTTAGTCACTTGTCGTTCCAAAACTAAACTGAGCAGAGAGGCTGCGGTGTGGCTGAGCAGGCCATGACGCTCTGGATGTTTTGGCCTACACTTTCCATCAGCTCTAGCCAATGGAGAGAGCTCATGGGAATTGCAGGCCAAATTTTCAGGGGCACCTCTGAGTTCCCACCCTTAGAGCAAGCAGTGAAGTTCAGGGTTGTTATGGGTATGAGAATGAGACAGAGAAGCAAGGGAGTAACTGTTCTAGGAAAACAAGCTCCATTCCCCACTTCTTGACATTTTGTGGTATCATGAAAAGTTCTGAAACATTCAAGCAGTGAACTTCCAGATTCTGGAGAATGTTCTGGGCTGGAAGAAGAACTACTGAGCCTTGACATGCAGTTCTCACAGTTGGCAGAGATTTTCCTACCTTCCACATCCCTAGTGCAACTTCTCTGTTGCTCAGTCTTCCTGATCATTAGTTCTTTCTTTCTCGAAGAACTTCTTGGTTGTTTCTGTTGTCCACCCCTCTGATTGGCCTTCCCCACCCATCTCATGACCACCACTTCCTTGGCTTTCCTGCACTAGCCAGCCAGATTCTCAACATACTTCTCAAGTTCTCATTCCCAAGGGAAGCACTTCCCACATCACGGCCGTACTGCCAGATCTATTGCTGGAGATACATTTAGTCTTTGTAGGGGATTACGTAGACTGCCTTGCTCTCATCAAACACGTTTGGCCAGTCTGCACTGTTGCCCTCACTCTGAATCTTCCCCTTCTCATGTTATAAGCCTCACTTGACTCCTCTTTCCTGATGTGTCTTTGTCTATTGACAACAGGCCATCCCTTCCAAAATATTTTTCCAGGGCACCTTCACAATATGTAAGAAAATACAACCAATGATTTCAAAACTAATGAAGGACAGATACCCTGTAGAAGTAGCATGAAAGAAATTTTATCAGGGACCAAAGCCATTAAATGGAAAGCAGAGATTGGTTTCTTAACAATCTGGTGCCTTAACAATTTTCAAAAATTAAATACTTTAAATTAAAATACATTTACTGGACATTAAAAATACATTTTTCAAGAGGGCAAGGAGTGGAAAGCTACACACAAGTACTGTTGGAGGCTCCTGCAGGCATCACAGCTCCAATAGGCAGAGCACCGGGAACCCCTGAAGGTGGATCTCCCTAAGGAGAGTATTCCATATCTGGGTGCCACCATTAAGAAGGCCCTTTCTCACTGCCGCTTAGAGACACCTGGAGGAGGGCGAAGTTGAACATTCTAGTGGGCAAATTCAGAGATAGGCAGGCTTTCAGGTACCTTGGTTCCAAGCAATAAGGGGCTCAGAAAATAAGCAGCAGTGCTAATCTTGCCCCTAGGGTCATTTGCTTGCTTGTTTATAAAGCAGTTGTGTCATTCCACCTTCCCGCCTTACCTTCCTTTTCTAAATCTAAACAGCAGCCATTGCAATTCCAGTGGAATTCAAGCAAACCGGAACCCAAAGAGCTCTAAGGATCAGCACCTAAACCTCTTGGACTGCCTTTCCAGGCAGATTTGAGCGTTCCCTTATTCACAACCCATGCTCCTGGCTCCCTCCTCCTGCCAGCCATGCCCCTCACCTGTGTCCACGGTAGGAGGCTTGGATGCGGATGGCGGCATTCTGCACCTGTGGGTCGTTGATGTCCAGGGAGAATCCTGGTGGGGGAGGGGCTGCTGACTTCTTGGGGGCCGCTTTTGACATCTGTGTGAGCATGATGGAAGAAAGGCAGGCATAACGTCAGACCCAACAAGCTTGCTTCCCAACAGGACAGACCCCACTCCCAGATTTCTTCTTGCTTCTCTTGCATGTTGTCTATCAACCATGGCAGGAGAGCCCTCCAACCTCACTAGCCCCTTATACCATTGAGACACCTGGGCGAGGACTGTCCTCATTCTTCTGGACCCTTGCAGAGCAATTCAGCCCAGACCCACCATAGGTGGGTAAGAACTACGATATGCTGCTCTCCCTATCCCCTCTTCATCGCAACCCCAATTTAGACCAGGCTGGTAAGGGCTTCATTGGAGCACTTGAAATCATGCACAGCCGTTCCACCCTGAATTCACCAGTAGGAAGGCTGGGATGTGCCTTGAAGCAGTGAGAGTCCTGCAGTCCCTGAAGAGCGTTCCCACGTAAGGCAGTGCTGGCTGTTGCTGGGTTCGGGCAGACGTTCTAAGGACTCCTTTCTCTATCCACAGGGTAGAGGCCGCTTACCGTGGGCAGCACCCGTGCAGCTCAGCTGTGATGGGAAAGGGCACAGGCCGCTCATCCCCACCACATTTATATCTCTGGCAGGGAGACACCAGGTCTGTCCATGCCCCCAGCCGCATTCCTGCCCTAGCATCTCCTTCTTTGGCTGGGGGGGAGGGAGTATGCCCCTGCCCAGGCAGGAATCCTGGGCGCTCCCTTATATAGCCTGTTGCCAGGTACCTGTGAGAATTGGGGCTGAGCTGATTGCAGCCTGGTGCTGTGTAATCACATTGACTGGCCCAGAGGGACAGAGATGGAGCAGCTGTACCATTCCTGTCTTTCTGGCCGAGAGATGGGGGGTGGGGGAGTGGTAGGATGAGCCCCTGCTGTCTGGGCTGCTTCCAGCATGCACAGACACAGCCTTAGGAAGATCAGAAACGACTGGAGAAGTGGAGGATGTGCGTCACTATCGGAGGCTATCCAAGCAGTTGGTGAGAACAGGAGTTACTACTCAAACATTCAGATACTGTACTTTCTGGGCAGAGCTGCTCATGGGTGCGATTTGTAGAGTAGTTGATGTGAACATGCCTCCACATCACCACAGTGGACCATTTCATTATTCCTGCTGTCCTCCGAAAGCGGTTTACCCATTGCAGGACACCAGCACTCTCAGCCTGATGGGTGAAATTAAGCAGGTTACAGAAAGAGGAATTCACACAGAACTGCCTTTCCCCTAATGCATTTGTTCTTCCTGCATTTTGCCCATGGAGCCCTGGAGAAATCTTACTGCATTTATTATATTGATTGTTCTGGACTAGACTAGACTGGACTGAATGCTGTTTAGGCTTGGTATTACCCACCTTATGCGTTTTTAAAACAAATGGCAGGATACAGGTGATCCATACTGTGTTCTTCTTATTGCATCACGGAAGCACTGCTGCTCTGTCACTCAGTTGCGTAGGTGGAACAAAAAGCCTGCCATTGGTGGAAAGGGGGCCTCTCCCTGCTCCATCCTCCCACTCACACATCATTCAAAACAATTTATCTGCTCATCTGAGTATGGGTAATGTGTGTGTGTTTCCCCTCTCATTTGCGCTCTGTTGTCTTCCCCTCCCCTCTTTTCCCTCCCTGGTCTCCTTTTGTGTTTTCCTTGTGTGTAGAGAAAAGAGGGAGGGAGAGAGAGACTCCAGCATTTTGAGATTGGCCGTACACCTGTGGCAGCTGCTGTGTGACTTGCTGCTTCCTCCACAGTATCCATTGCATGGCTTTGTCAGTTCCATTTTTTTAAAATGCCAGATGTATCCTGGGGCCAAAACTGGTTGCAGATCCAAGTATAAACCCAAATATTTTGCTAAATGACCAGATATGATTGAAATTAGAAACATAGAAACAGAGCGAGTCAGAAGGGGTCTCCCGGGCCATCTGGTCTGTCCCCCGGCTCCAGCCGGCTCCGCTCATGACATGCCCTCCATGTCTGACATCTGAAATGGCACAGGTTCCCCATCCTTGAATTAGGGAGTCAGCAGATATGAATTTAAGGCTCAAACTCAAGGAACCAATTTCAAAGCCATGAAAAAATGGTTCATATAATGTTCTTGGTATAGTTCTGATCCTCATCACTATTCACATCACAAAAGATGCCAGTGATGCACTCACAACTGAATTTCTCACAGAAGTTACAGTGATATTTAATGAAATGATGTGACCAGGAAAATAAACACACACCCTAAAACCAAAGGCATGTGCCAATATTTGTGATTAGTGGAAATAAGCAAGAGTGCCTGGTTTCTTCCAACCCAGGTGAATGGAGGGGTTTTTTGGTATATGAATTGCACCATACACTTGAGAAGGAACATGTTCTCGAAAGACAATACTCCTGTGTGCTTGGTTACTCTGGTGGGATGGCACAGCTGACTATTTTGGAAAAAATTAGAGATGCCAGGGACTGAAAGCTACATCCTGCCCAATCAGTCCAGCTTTGTGACTTGTTCCATACAAACTGAAGGAATTCTCAGTCTCTCAAAAGTTCATTTCTATCACCTGTGGCCTGAAATGAGGTAATTACTTTTTATCTTACCAGAGGTGTTTACTCGGTTACCCCATGCCAGGACACTTGCATTATCATCAACAGTGCTGTTTGAATGGTCATTGTAAAATTTTACATAGTTTCAGCTGTAACATCATTGGCATGTTCTGTACTTTTTGCATTCCATATCCATCTGATCTCTCTGGTTAAAATTGACACTCTCACCTGCAAACATGCGTACAGCGGATGCCTGAATAATAACATGTCACACATCTGATAAAGTGGATTCAAGTCCAAAGAAGCTTGTGCCAGAGTATGCTTGTTAGTCCACAAGACGCTTTTGTTGCATTTGTTGCAACAGACAAACACAATTACTCCTCTAGAATATTTATTGACTGTGATGTGGTTTGTTACGAATTTTCTTTGATAAGGTAGGTAAAGGATTTGGATTGTGGAAGGGCTTGTTCTGTCGTCCCACCAGTTCTCCCTGAGTTCTTTGCTATTGGCTAGCATGATAGCTGCCTTAAAAGTGAACCCTGAAGGACATCCAGTAACTTAACTGTCTCTAAGGAGATAGTGAAGTGTTGAGTGTACTACCAGAAGTTTCCAGAATGGCATTCAGGCTACATTCCATCCTGTAATGTGAGAGAAAGTCCCAATGGCAGCATCCTGGACTTGAGACAGTATCTTTCACCTGCTTGGCCAAGTAGTTTGGCTGTTGCTTGGCAACCACAAGTAGTCATGCCCTCACTACCCAAAGCTGTATGTTCAGCAGAACCAAGGAAGCTGCCAGTTAATGTTTTCTATGCTGTCCTGCAGTGGTTCTCTCCTGCCTGAAGAGCAAACCTGGGTACTGCTGCATGCAAAGTATGTGCTCTTCACCACCTAACTACAGGCCTTCCTAGAACGCCTTGGCTCCAGATGCAGGTGAGAGGGCTGTGTGTGTGAATGCCAGGCCAGAAAAAGCATCTTCTCTCCCCACTCAGAGAAACCATGCATCTGGAAGAAAAGAGGCGCCAGTATGGAGGACAGCATGAAAGCAGCCCAGAGACATGAGAGCGTCCATTTTTGGGCTACACAGAGGATTCCACCCTTAAAGGCAGCCTGGAAACAGATGAATAGCCAGGAAGAAATGTGGTGCTCATTCTGCTTTGTTGTAGAAGGGGTGTTCATTTAGGAGAACAAGTCAGTCATGTCTTCAGCCCCACCCTGGTAGGGCTGCCCTGCATTTCTAGCTGCAGTTTCAGGTAGGATAGAAGCTGTAGATAAGTGAGCCAAACTTGGGAGTGAAATGCAGCAGGGAGAAGATTCAGCTGTTGCAGCTGAGCAATGTGTGAGGATCCTTCCACAAGCTGTTCATCAACTGGGATCCTGAGAAAAATGTAAGGGCAAAAGTAATTTCTCTCCTCACTTTTTTAAAAATCAATTTGGGAGTGATGACAGATTACACCTGACATAACCGGAATGATGCCCTGACCATTTTTCCTGCATGTGACTGACAAATGGAAGAGGGATCCTTGTTGCACCCAAGGCAGATACCCTGTCAGGCTGAGACCAAAGGGCATGCCTTAAGGAAGGGCAACTGGCAGTTCAGGGACCCAGTCTAGCATCTGTTAGCCTTCTCTGTGGTCCTTGATTCCGAAGACACACCCTGCAGATCAGTTGGCTTGAAGAGAAAGGCCTTTTCTTTGCAAACAGCAAAAGGCTTAAGAAGAGCCCGTTAGAGAATCTGTGAGCTGCTGAAGAGGATTTGGTCAGCCCTTCTGTTGCTGTCCATGCTGGAGAGGAGGGAGTTAAAGAGGCTGGGGTGAGGTGGCCACTTCAGGCAGCAGATTGTGGGTATCATGAAATGGCAGCAAAGTGTTAGGGTTTTTGTTTGATGTTATTGCATTTTTTTCTGGCAGAGGGGATGATTTAAGGGGCAAAATAACAGAGCAGTTTGGGGGCTACTATGCACTTTGACTGGGTGTGTGGGGGAGAGAGCATACTTGTTGCTTCATCACAGGCGGCAAAATGACTTGGATTGCCCTGCATTTTCAGCCCTTGCACAGTTACTTCCTTCTTGTAAGCATAAGATCAAGGATGCAAACTTTATGTATGTTTATCAGAGAATCATAGAATCTCAGAACAGTAGCGCTGGAAGGGGCCTATAAGGCCATCAAGTCCAGTCCCTGCCAAATGCAGGACTCCCAAGTTAAAGCATCCCTGACAAATGGCTGCCCAACTTCTTGAATGCCTTCAATGTGGGAGAGCCCAGGACCACCCTAGGCGTCTGGTTCCACTGCCATATTCTTCTGACAGTAAGCTTTTCCTGATACCTAGCCAGGATCTGGCTTCCTGTAATTTGAGCCCATTATTCTGTGTCCCATACTTGATGGGATGATCAAGAAGAGCTTCTAGCCCTTTTCTGTGTGAGTCTTTCAAGTACTTGCAGAGTGCATTTGTATCTCCCCTGAGTCTTCTTTTCTCAAACATGACGGGTTCTTCCCATCTCTCCTCAAAGGGCTTTGTTTCCAGACCCCTAAACTCTCCTTTGAACCCCTTCTGCTGAACGTGTCTAGATCTTTCTTAAAGCACGGTGCCCAGAACTGGATGCAAAACTCATGACGGGACCTAATCAGTGCTATATAGAGGGGAACCAGTACCTCATGTGATTTGGAAGTTGTGTGTGTGTTAGAGAGTGTGTGTGTGAGGGGGGAATTGAAGCTTATCTGCTCAAAGCCTCAATTCAGGGTGTAGAAAAACAGCTTGTAGCTCAAGCAGTGCTTTAGAGTCATAGCTAAACATTCTTTGATTGCCTCTAGTCCTTATCTAGGTAAATTGGAGTTTTCCATGCATGGAAGAAAGATTAACAGGAGGCTTGAGCCCACACCAAGGATTGCAAAGTGCCCCCATCACAGAAGGTGGGAAGGGCAATGAACCAAAATAATCCACTCAGGAATGAACACATTTAGTAGTGACAGCTGAATTTCCGTGGTGGGGTGGCAGAACTGAAACTTCTGGGTGAATACTGGTATGGGCATGGATACTGCTGAGAATTAAAGTCTTAAGGGCAAGCCACACCCTACGGACATAGAGACATATATACATCTTCTCCATGAATATATACCCTCTTGCATTTTGCCAATGCTACTGTGCTTGTCACATGTATGCATAGTATAATATACCTTTATGACCATATGGCTGGTGAGAACTGTAAGGACACTATTTATAAAGAGTGCAGGAACCTGCTGGAATTAGGGACTTGAGCTCATGACACAGGTAGCCCAAAGTGAAGCACTTGCAAAACATTTTGCTCATATTCATCGCTGTCTTCAACATTCCAGGAGCGTGGAGTCCCCATTCTTCACAGGGTGCAACCTCAGTTTGATCAAGCCCATGTATAATATTCCAGGGGAACAGAATTGCTGTTCTATTCAACCATTTAGGAGTTCTGACAAAAAATACAGCGATTGGAGTATAGTACTTACTAAGCAAGAGAGTAATAAGTACTAATAAATAAAATCAGACCATCTGGCCTGCAGCTCTATGTAACAGTACCTAGATCTACAAAAAATATGTGAAGGTCTTTCCAGCATGGGGATAGGTATTGTTATCTGTACATTTGGTTAATAAGTGGTGGAATTAGGGTTAGTGGGGAATGACTGTGACCCCCATAAGCTGTTTGCTTATTTTGGCATTTAAAAGTTAACTCATCACTTTAATACACAACTCTCAATCAACTTTTTAAAAGCTGAAGAACAGCTGGAGTACCAGCCAATCCTCACCGAGTATGGCTGGCTTCTGCTGCAAACAAGACTTGATCTTGATCTAGGGAGAAAATATATACATTAAAAAGTGTATATATTTTGTGGTGAGTGCACTTCCACATCAACTGCACTCCTAATTTTAGATTCCCGTAAGCACTGAAGAGTGAGTTGGTTGGTGGCACTCTTGCTGGTCTCTGATGTGGAATTGGGAATACACAAATGAAACTGGGCCTTTTAAAGTGACTCTGCATAAGATGTTCCTCTCCCCTGTTATCTCCCAGCTTCCCCAGGGACCACACAGAGCCACTGGGATTATCCACTGCCTTTATTTTGAGTCTTGGGTTACTTCCACACTAGGCCTTTTCAGTGTGGAATCACCCCAGCCTCTTTCATTCATATTTTATCGGGGAGTTATGATGGCACCATCCACTTGCAATCATTCCATGGTTTTCTAGTGTTCCTTCCATCTTTTGTTCTTTTGTACTGATTTCTTTGAAAAGCACAAAAAAGTAGCATGATCTCCACAGAAGTGCATGCTTTTTGTGCTACTCTTCCATTTGCTTTATGGTTTTGATATAGGCAGTGATGAATCTGCAGATGAAACTCTCTGGCAGGTGAAAGTATCACAGTTCAACACACATTCAATAGAAACTCTGTGGTGGGCAACATTTTATAGCCCCATTATTTTTTAAAAAAAAATCAATCTTTTAATTAGCACTAAAATGCTTTTCTGGTTATAATTTAAAAATATTAGCAAAATGCTGCTTAAGTATGAGTGTTACAGTGCTATATCACTGTAATGCTAATTGATGATGATGATGATAAAAATACATTTGCAGTCACTAGCATTTTAGGAACCAGTCCACCCTGCCCCCAACCTACAGTTCTGACCCTTTAAAAATAGCAAAATGCTGTTTCCTTTAAATAACAGGGTATTATAGCACTGTACCACTTGTTTTAAATATAAAGAAAGGGGAAAACACTTTTCTAGTGACTGCCATCTTAGTAATGTGTTTTTTTTGTAACTGAGCACTTCCAACCGTCATGTCCAGTCCAAAACAAACATTAAACACTTCAATTTTTTGACATTTCCTGGAGTATAATGGTCAATCATGCTTAGTTTAGTGAGTGCTTAGATTAAATAAATAATTGACTTTTATTTTTGTTAAGAATTGCTTGAATTTTTACCTCAATTTTTTTTTTCAAATGTCTGCTCAGGTGAATTGGACATTACCCTTCCCAACCCACAACAGTTATGTTTTACACCGATGTGGATGGGACACAACAGGATGAACATACAGAAAAAGTGCAATATTCCCAATAGTGCGGAAAGTCAGTTGCAAATCCACTTGTAGCTTAGAGCGGAAGAGCAATGATTTATTAGTAGTAGAAACTACCTGTCTGGAAGCAGCCCTCATTGCTTTGTTTGTTCCATGCCAGAGGGAAATCGGCATCTCCACAATCAAAACATATTGGTACATGGCAGGGGGTGGAGAATGAAGGGACAGAGATGGGGTACCATAGTCATTGATTCACACAACCAAGCTAGGATTGGACAGTTGCTTTCATGCTGTATTAGACCCTGGACCCTGGCTAAACCCTTAGGGTTGCTTTCAGCTCTGCTTAACTGGTAACTCTATCAGTCCTCTACCTTACTAAAGGCAGGTTTGTACCTGTTAGTTGCTATGAGAACCTGAAGGCCCTCTTTCCATGGACTGTGTAAGGTCACTGTGCAGAATGCTCCACAGACCTGGCTGGGTGGCAAAAGCAGGAGATTCCAGCCTGTCTCCTCACTCCTGTGAACAAATACTTTCTCCTGGCTATGCACATGGCTTCATTACTGCACTTTTGCTCATGCAGACATCAGCACCCTGAGGCTCAGAAGCAGAAGGGTGATATGATGGACGCAGAACCAGCCAATTTCCTTCATTGCCAGTAAAACCAGCCCATCAGAGGCATAATGTATGTCTCTGAAAGCCCAAAAGGAGAAGGTGCATGAGATTGGCGACCCTGCCCCTGTTTTTCTAGGATTCATCACAAGCATGTTTTTAGGTGCCAGAATGAATATGGCAAAAGAACACGGAAGGAGGGTGTGCATGCATGTATATAAATATTACGAAGAATGGGTGGCTATGCATCTGAAGCACATACCTGAAGGACGGAGAAGGTGCCTGCCCCCTGAAGGACAGGAAAGGGTTGTACTGTGTGTATGTGTCAGAAAAGCATGTGCAAAATGCAAGGAGAGCAGCAGGAAAGAATATGCGTGGTGGCAAAGTGGAGGTGCGAACAGAGAAGAGGGGTGCCTTGCATTCTTCCGGACACCCAAATAGATGTGAATGGGGAGGAATCTTGGGGACACTATCACCAACCCTTTGCGTCCCTGTTCCAGCATTTATTGTTATTGCCTGCTTTTCTAAGTGTGGGGTCGCTGTGGATTCATTCCCCCTCCATGCCACCTATCTTGGCGAACAGAAATACCATTAATGGTGAAGAATATTTTGTCCTCGTATCATATGCCACTTTCACAGGTTGGTGTTTCCCATTGCTTCTGTGCCTCCACTGCAAGGCTTCAAGGCTGATCTCTCATTTTTTCTCCTCTCAGCTCAGGTTGGTATGTAAAGGAAGAGATGTCCAGCCCCTGCTGAGGGCTGCAGGGTTTTGTGCAGCCAGATGTTTTGTGTCTGGTGGTAGTCAACACAAAGGATTGGCTGCACCTGGCTGCATGCAGCCTATGCAGGGATAGATGCAGCACTTAGGCACAGTACCAAAGGGGCCCTTTGGAGCTTCAAGGTGGAGTGATGGAGACGTTTTGATGAGGAAATGTCAAGGCTTTCACCCCGGGCCTTGGCACTGCTTGGAGGCCTCTTGCATTTCCCAGAGTGGATCCCCCTTCCTGAAACTGAGCCCCTGGTAGCAAGTCTTGTCAGTCTGGCATCTCCCACCATCAGGCACTGCTTCGTGCCCCCTAAGCCAGCCTACTGCCAGGACCAGTGGTGGAGTGAAGAACAGTGGCCAGTGCTGACGACTCTTCCTGATCCTTGAGGTATATCAACCAGTCCCACCCCGGCTGGGTGGACGGGGGCTTGGCCCACCACACCCCCTGCTGGAATGCTTTGTGGCTCCTCTGGCAGGGCTGGCGGCTAGGGCATGTGGCTGCTGGCGCCATGGTAGGAGCGCAGTAAGACCTTGTGCTTGGTGGCCACCTCATTGCGCCGACGCTGGTGCTCCACCAAGAACTCTTTCAGGCGACTCGTGGTGAAGGTGAGGGTCTGGCGCCGCAGTTTCATCAGATAGGCATCCTGGAGCCAAGGGTTGGCAAAGCAGTCCTTGATGGTGGGACGGCTCCTGCAAAGTCAAGAAATACTAGAAAGAGGCTGCTCGTTTTGTAGAAGCCCATCCCTCTCAAAAGAATAAGGAAGAAAGGGGGGG